TAGGTTGCTTTTGAACTCGAATGTAAATTCTCAGCTGAAGAACTGGCAAAATACCACAAACTGACTGTACTAAAAGTGATTTCCCACAGGATTTGTTTTCAGAAAGTACAGTTGTTGGCTCTCAGACATTCATATATAGCAAATAAGAGACCAAAGCTAGTACTCATTTACGAACTTTATATTTATTATGTGTAGTATACTAAAACAAAAAGTAAAGTATACTTAGTTTAGTAAACTAAAACTAAAGTTAATAAATGGAAAAATGTAACTTGTAAGCACATTTCCATGAGTTTGGCAAATGTGAATGCTCAATTCAGAAACATTGTTTTGAGATTTAAGAGTTTTGCTCATCCACTTTTCCCTTAGGAGGCTGCAAGCCATGTAAATTACAAAACTGAACAGTATCAAAATAACAAAACTATGTAAGAATTACGTGTTATTCAAGGGCATAAAATAAAGGAGGAATAGAATAATATGCTGAATAATATTTTACGTACTAGAAATTTTTTAAAAAATATGTTAGCATCAAACTGGAAAAATGTCTAAACTGAGAAACTAGTTTTCACACAGAGATTGTTATTTGATAACTGTAGTTATAAAAGGGTATGTATACTGGCAAGAAACTCTGGATAATATCAGAAGAGGGTACTTCCAGTACCTAACATGGACCCTAGGGAGAAGCTGGCTTTTAGGGGTGTCTGTCTAGAGCAGCTAGTGTCATTAGTTCCTGTTATAGATTTCCCACATGCATTTTGGGTCACAAGGTACCTGCCTGAGCATAAGCTTCTATAATTCTGTTTAAATTCCTTCTTTTGGAGTTCAAGGCACCTGTTTTTCATGAAAATTTTGCTGTGATCCAGTTACAGGTGGCAGCTAAATTCTGTGGAAGCCCCAGCAGACCTGATCGAGGCAAGGTCTCAACATGCCAAATGCCAAGTTCAAAACACATCACAGTACACAGGCTGTAGCCACTTTCATGAAGATCCATGGAAGAGGTAACACTTTCTATATTTGTATGATATTCTAATTAATATATAAAATATATAATAGATATTATAACATGTATAAAGCTGTATTATATATCATACAACCCTATTGACCATACAGAATGTGTTCAGCCAAAGGAGAGATGTGACCCAGTAGGTGGGTGCTTGCTGTTAAAGCAGCAGACCTACACCTGGAAGCTCTGTAGGCACTTGACTATATCAGGCAACTGAATCGCAGAGAGAAGTAGGAGTCCAGACATATTTCTCTTCTCACTAATTAAAACAGGCTAATTTTAACCAGGTACATCCTCAGCTGTGTTTGTCTGGGGAGGATATTTCCTGGATATATCCAAATCTTCCCATTTGACTGTAAACATGTCAATGAGATGTTTTTCAGACACTTACTAAATACAAGACCACGTTTTTAGTTCTCCAATAGGTCCTAAAGTCTTAACAAATTCCGTAAACTAAAACTAGGTATCTTATTTAGGTGTCAGATCTCTGGAAAAAAAATTAAAAACCAGGCAATGTTATTTTAAACCTAGGAAAGCTTAAATTTTGAAATGCAGATTTTGCTATAATTCTTCCTATCAGTTGGAAGTAAGCACAAGCACATCTCCTGCTCTTTCTGGGCGAGTTGTGAATTCAATCTGTTACACTTAAAAGCACTCTATAAGGTTCCTTCAAATTACAGAGTGAAAAGACAGTTACTGACCATAGTATAATTGCATTGCTCTGTCTCCATTACTTAGCTATAAAAAGCTATGTTCTAACACACTTATCTCTTTATTTCCAGAAAAGCAGTCTATCTTGAAATTTGGCATTTGGACAGGAAAGCCAGCAGAATGTGTAATTCAGAAGGCCATTTGTGTCAGCTTTGCCTTAAATCTGAATGACAGAGAATGAATGTGGCCTCCGCTCATGCAACACAAGCTGAAAAGTTATGAGTATTAACAGCTTTCTAGTCAGCTCCTTGAAACACACAACTACATCTGAAGTGGATGGGTTTTCTTGAAGCAGTATTCCCTACATTTAATGCTGCATACCATGGCACTTTATATCACATTTATCCAGCAGATCACATTCACATGGCACAGCACAACCACTGAAGGAAAAATAGAGGAAAAACAGCAGAAGACTGATAAATGATGAAAGCGTGGAGATAAGGCTTGAGGTGAGCAAATAGGTTATATTTTCTATAACTTGGTACGTACTACCTTAACCTGGAAAGGAAGCATATTCGAATTTAAAATAGAAAAATAATACTTAAAATTGCACTTTAAATTTCTGTATTGAAGTGTTTTTCAGTAGGTAGATCCATGTATTTAACAGTGTGGAATAAAACAGGATATTTACAAAGCATGACAAAATAGCCATTTGTTGTTAAACTTGTCTGAGCTCCTTCACAGTAGAATGCATGAATTTTGTTTACATTGTTTAAATTTATCCTTGAAAGTAACCTTTTTCCAGCATGAGCTTTGTAAATTGGTCTTTTCTGCCAACATCTTAACTTAGCATCTGCACTGCAGACAAATGCATTTGCCTCTTGCTCCTCCCCAGAAGCCCTCCATGGTATCACTGCCATTTTTGATTTCAGGCTTGACGCTGATTATGAGTCATAAAGACAAGAAAAAAAGTATTTTTTTTTTCCCCTTAGGGTTAATCTAACCCAATTTCTAGTGCAGGTGTTCAGCTCAGGTGATTATGGCTCTGGATTTATGTCAAATACTTAAGTTGGTTGCAAGTGTCACTGTTAATATGGCCATGTAAGTACTTCCTTGACATTATAATAACTAGCAAACTGCTGTAAATTCCAGAAGAATCTGTACTTCCCACTGTTTTAAGTTAACTGAAGACAGAACTGAATGGGATTTTAACTATTACACCCGAGCTCTGCTAACACATGGTAACATTCTAAATCAAAACGTGTGTTTACAGTTGACATGATAAAAATCACTAAAGAGATAAGTCATGAGGTAAACTCATCCATGCAGGAGAACTTTATAAACACTTTGAATTATTCTCAATGTTCTTCTTTAGACGTTACTCTATTTCAAAAACAATAAAAAATTTATAATAACAATAGTTGTATGTAGTCTGAGATAGTGTAATTGTTTTTAAATGAAGTGCAGATAAGAACTTAAAATGTAACATAGCATAATGGATGTAGGACAAAACTATTAGCTTCAAACCTATTATTAATTGACGATGTGTTTGAAGTAACAGCCACGGAAAATAATTGATATTTATCCAATTAAAACTTGTAGAGAACTTCTTGCATTGGTAATTACAAAATTTGATGCCCTACTTTATCACAATTGAGATAATCACAGGAAATGATAAATTTACAACATAATGAATCTACTCCCTGCAAAACTAGACAATGTTCACTGCAATGCAGAATCCTACATATTGGCCAAATTCTGTCAAATGTAAACTCTACCACAGCAGAAGAAACACACATTTGAAAGTGGACATAACAATGTAAAAACTAATGTCTTGAGCCCATCCAGTCTTCAAATGCAAGCACAAGGTATCTTACTGTAAGTAAATCTTAAATATCAAGAACAACATTAAATGAAGTATCTTAATAGTCTCCCTCTCTTTTGCAAGTCTCAATTTGAAAATTCATATACCAAGAAACAGACAGCGCTCTTGAAAGCTTTAATCCTCTTCCACTACATTGTAGTAGTTAACCCTATTGGTGAAGAAACACTAAGAAGAGAAATTCTGACAGAAAGTAGCAAGCTGCCAAGGTGAAGGAAGGAAGTATAACTGTTAAAGAGATCCTCTTTAATGTCAAATCATTCTTATGATTATAAACTGCCTTATGATTATGAACTGGCTTATAAAAATGAAACATAATGTGTTCATGAACAGAACATAATTTGAGTTTATTAGTTCATCATAACCAACATATTATAAACTAATTTGGGATTCTTAAAATTACATAGAATAATGTGCAAAGAAATGTTATGACAATTATGGAGCTCTGAAACACAAAATTTCTCATCCCAAACTGCTCTTTAGTCAGATAGAGCTTTGCACATTTCCAAATTTTTCTTATTAGTCTCTTTTCTCAGATTGATAGTTTCCAAAAATGTTGACTGATTATATGTTGGATGACCTGAAGCAGACAAGCAACTTCTATTGTAACATACTGTTGTGTTCCAAAACTGAAACAGAGAAGTTTACCTAAAAACTACGATGTGGCTTTAAATATTCACTATGAGCAATAAATCATTTATAATATATTTCAAAATTGCAGAGTAAGTTACAATTTTCCTTCAAAACAATAATTTGTCATGTAAAACAGAAATAGAAGTTAGTAGTAGTTCTGTAAATGCTGTTGAAAATCCTGTGTTCATAAAAATGTGAATATCTATAGAGAACATTTACTTACTATATTTAGGGGTTTATGTATAAATTCTTACCTAAGCTGTTTAAAAGCTTCTGCCTTCACAAGTGGTGTTTCTACAGAGTGTTCAAAGAGTGCTCCTTCAGGCCCTGCAAAAAAAAGAAAAATACTGAATTGTAAAAGTTCAAATGCAAAAAAAAAAAAAAGCAACACTGATTTATATGGCCATTTTGATACCAGAAATTAAGATAAGAAAACATATATTAATAAGACAATGAAAATATAGCTATAGTCCTACTATTACACTATTAACTGGAACAGTACAATATATAGGTAATGTAAAAGTACAGAGGCAAGTTCCTCAAATGAAATCTAAGAAGTCTGAAGACGGAGAAACTTAAAATTACTTGGGACAATAAAATAAGTAAATAAAATTTTTACAATGTCTCTTCCACTATTGTTAATAGAGACAATTAAAGTCACACAAATATTACAGGCCTAAATAATTATATTTATTTTTGACTACATAACATGAATTCTGGCATGCAGCTTCATGAAAGATTTTGCTCTATTTTTAGGTAGACTTGCTGAATATAAAAGGGTCTTTATGCACGTAAACTGGCAATGACTATGGGGTCAGATAGTTTACCTCCTGAAACAAGAGTAGTTTCATCCCAATGCAGAAGAAACAGTGGGCACCCAACCTCACCAGGAGTCTCCCTGTTGGATCTGGAAGTTCTCCAAGCACTTCTGTGTCTGGTCTCATGAGGACTAGCATCACAGCAGTATCACCAGCTCTGTGACTGTCTCTTGACTAAGCTTCACTAGGATCAGGGAACTAGCTGAAGCAGTACAAAAGCCCCTGAGCAAGAGATGGTTCAAAAAAGCAGCTAAATAACACCAGCAGCAGCAAGGGTGGTCTCTCATCCTCTGTTCATAGGCTTTGTGAAGGCATTCGTCCAAAACTAGGGAGGCCTTAGGTCGAGTGTTTTTCTCCAGCTTAGTGGATTATGTCAGGTGACTATGTAGCAAAGCAATATATTCTAAGACTCAGGGTATTACTAAACGTGGCGTTTCTGGATGCACTTTCAATTAAAGCAGTTACCCTCAGGAAAGAATTCTGGCATGTAGAAAGCCCTAAGTCAAGGCTTTGGACTCCATCTAGAGAAACAAACCCTTAAGACCCTTCAAGACCCTTCTTAAGTTGCAGGCTGGTGAATATGCATGCATGCATGTGCATGTTTATTTGGATATTAATATCACTACAGTTAACATATTAAATGCAAATATACGTGTAAACAAAAGAAAACTTTGTGTGTATTTTCTGTCTGGAAGACCTGACAAGATTGGGATGAAAAAGTTAAAGTGCACATAGAATCAGGCAGAAAGAAGGAAAGACAAGGGGAAATAGATGATTAGAAAGTATGGTATGGATTGTATAGATGTGGTACTAGATTGTATTAGATGTTCTATAAAGGAAAAAAGATAATAAATATTAGTGGGGGAAACCACAGAGAACATGGTGCAAGGAAAAAAAAAGTGAAATCAAGAGATACCATTAAAAATTAATACATTGCTGAACCAACTGCTAGGAAAACCGTCACTTCACGGGGGCTGGGGGAAAGTTCTCACTCAGGATGTCCTAAGAAAACATGAAATGTGCTGCTGTTTGAAAAGAGCTTTAGCTGAAATCATGATTCCTTGTAATGAAATCTCCTTAGCTTGAATGGATGAGAAATGCTCAAAATGTAAGAATCGCCACACTAAATCATTTCACCACTTCAAGGGGGGACAGACTTCCAAACTTCTATTTAACTTTCATTTAGCTGTTGATATCTTCATCATCAATTTAAATAGGTGAGTCTTTCTGGAATTTGCTAACTAGCAAGAATATAACACTGGAAAATATAAAATTCATTAATTCAGACAGAACTTTAACCCTTCTTCATTAGCATTAAGATTATTTTGCAAGATAAAAACTAATTTTGGGCTGGACATAGTTATTCTCCTGTTCATGTATTTGTGCTGGTGGGTGTTACAAGGTGACAACTGTTCACATAGGAGGTGATGTGAAAACCAAAACCTTCAGAAATTAAATAAGTTTGTTAGAAAATACGAATAAGATACTTTGAAGCGATACGCTGATCTCTCAAATCCTGCTTGCCACCTAGAGGTGGCAGATGAATTCAGGTTTTCCTTTGAGCAGGGACTGCCTCAAAGGCTATTCTTCTGACACTGTAGTCCTTTGAGAACATAACATGATCCCTCACTGTCCCTTATTCCACTATGTCCTACATGACAATTCTTAGCAAAGCAAGCCTATCACTGTTCTCCTCACTTAGATTTTTATATTGGAATTCAGTAGATGAATTTCAGTGAAATATATACTGTCACAAAAGGACTTGCACTAACAAAAGAGTTATCAGTAACTTTGAATGATCTCCAAACACACGATTTATTAGAGGAGATAACTTGATCTTAATGGCTTCCAGATGTAGTTCTGTGAATTCTTTATGCATGTCTATGTTAAGAGGTAATGTGACCTGAAAAGGGTGGATTTATAGAGTGAAATACTTGGTGCTAAAGATCTGCTGCTCATACTGTATAGATTTAGGGGATTTTATTCTGGACCAAGTCTAGTATCATCTGGTGGACTTAAAACATATTTGCAATTCTGATGAAGTAAACTCATTCTTTGAGCCCATTTCTCAGCTGGATTTCATCCAAAACAAATCCAATGTGTTCACTCCCTGACTACTCCGTAGTATAAACCAGTGAGATGGGAGAACTGTTGAAACATCAGATCTGCAGCAAAAGGGCAGTCCCGATGGAACAAAATTCTATTGTGGATACACATTTTGGCTTGATGACTGTGGAAGGCATTTTAAAATTTCCTTTATTTCCCTTTTTCTTTTTCTTATCCATGCATCTCCTATACCAACATACATTCTATGGTGTGTTCTTCTACTTGAGTATGGTTTGGAATCCATTTCTTAGATAAGCTGCACAGTATCTTGTAAAGAAAATTGTATGAAACTGCATAGTTTGAAATTTCATGCCTTATTACACTGGTGCATATCCTTACACAGGATTGCCACAGTAGTAGAATTTGACTATGTGCCAATTTCTTGTTATCTAAATAACAGCATCACATAGTGAGGATCTTGGCGCAGTTTCTGGATACAAGATCCATTTCCACCTTGCTTTGAGGTCTTTTGTTAACACTGATGTTCTAAAGAAAAAGGCATATCAATTATCACGAGGTTTCTTCTGGTTGTCTGAAGAAGGCCTCATCTGCTTCTTCTTGATGAGGTGGTCTGCAGAATACAACTATCATCATGTTGCCCATGTTGATCTGCCCCCTGTTCCTGACTCACAAGCTCTCACGGGGCTCCTCATCCATCCCAAGGCTAAGGACCATGCATTCACGCTGCTTTCATGCATAAAGGGCAACCCACCCCTGCCTGTTCTTCTTGAAGAGCCTTTATTTTTGAATAAAGTATTTTGAGTGGCACATTTGTAAAGCACCTTAAGTGTTTCCATGCTATAGTGTGGCATTATCATAGAGACATTCTGCAGATTGCAAGCACTGAAACAGCCAGGGTATATTGGAGCAGCTCTGTGGAACCTAATGGCATGATTGTAGTTTACTGCTATTAAAAATCTCGTCTTATGTCTGCATTTTTATAAATTTTCCTTCTATGGTTGTGTAGGAAAACACCATTTTTTAATTTAGTCCACTTGCTATAAAAAATATAGTTTCAATTATTAGAAAGATTAGGGAAGGAGATAATAATTTTCATTAATATTTTGCAAAAAGTACCATTAATGATTACTCACTGGAAAATGAAATGACATATCCAGCCATCAGAGTAATAATCAGAGTAAGAAAAGGTAAGCGAAGCCTACTAGGTGAACTACATGAACACAGCCTATTATCTGCTACCACTGGCAAAATAATAAATAATGACCTCAAAATGAAAATATGCATCTCTAAACCTCAACTACTGAGTTTTGTCTCCACATGACACATCCCCAGCCTGGAAAGACTCTGAAAAGCTCTACTGTGTGCTCTGCCTGATTTTCATATAATCCCTCTGTCACCTTTAGAAAACCATACAGTCACTACAGCACCTTTTACACAGAAGTTCACATGTGGTGACACAAAACCAAAGCTTTTTTTCATTTCAGATGTAGCTTGATAAGGATGTAGCATGATAAGGATGTAGCTTGATAAGGATATTAAAGAAATTATATGACCTGCTTGTCTGTCTATGAAAGGAACTTGAGCTGAAAAATCAGACACCTCTTCAAGTTAAACTTTTACATTTTTATCACGGATTGGGCTTGTTGCATTGAAAATGACGAGCTGTGAACGGAGAGAGAGAGAAGCCTGGCAAAACTGACTGGAGGAGGGGAGACACTTGTGAGGCCTGAATACCACTATGGCTGGTGAAGCCTTGTTTGAAATAAAGCTGAGCCTTATTTTAGAAATCTGCTTCTGTCTCTTGATCAGGAGGGCAGGTCTCTTGATCTGAGCACCACTGTGCCTCAAAAACAAGGCAGGGGGAGCAAAGAGACCAAACTTCCCTGAGAAGCCCAGTTCTATTGCTAGTTCTCAGGTTGTGCAAACAAAGAGCATTGAAAACAGCGCTAACACCAGCAATTACATAATTTTAATTAAAAATAATCTTTCTGAATATCTTTATAAAGCAGCATTATCACTGGAGCATTCCTTCCTCACTGGAGGAGATGGAAGCCCATGCTTAGCAGTGAATAACTTTGGGTCTGGAGATCTCACTCTCCCCTTCTCTTTTTGAATGTGAACCGTGAAAGAGGATGAAAGCATGTACCCAGAGGCTATAAAGCTTCACCTTGCTGGCAGACACCGAAAGTGCTTGTCCTCTCATGCTGGGCACCTAACATTTTGTACAGGTATTACAGAGTACTGCCCTGGGAGGTGGGACTGCAGGACTGAAGTCTCCTGGGCCAAGAAGGAAATTCAGCCCAGGTATCTCACTTCCTAAAGCCTTATGAGGACCATCTGAGGGAACTGGGGTTGTTTAATCTAGAGAAGAGGAGACTGAGAGGTGATCTTACTGCTCTCTACAACTACCTAAAAAGAGGTTGTAGTGAGACTGGTGTTGGTCTTTTCGCCCAAATTACTCATGATAGGATGAGAGGAAATGGCCTCAAGTTGTGCCAGGAGAGGTATTGGTTGGATATTAGGAAGCATTTCTTCACTGAGAGAGTGCTGAGGCACTGGAACAGGCTGCCCAAGGAGGTGGTGGAGTCACCATCCCTGGAGGTGTTTAAATGACGTGCACACACGGCACTCAGAGACACGGTTTAGTAGTGAAATTGGTAGTGTTAAGCTAACAATTGGACTTGATGATCTCAAAGATATTTTGCAACCTAAACGATTCTATGATTCTGTAAAGACAGGTAAGTGGCAGCAGAGATGGTATCACTTGCATGGGAACTAATGGGGCTAATAGAAGAAAGCCAACAGGAAACAATGTTAATGCTCTAGAGAGAGGGGTGGTGGTGTAAAAGGGAATAAAAAAGCTTATTTCTTTGCATATTCTAGAGCAGTCACCTCTAAGCAAGAGTCAAACCTTGCCTTCCTGTGAGAAAAATTTCTTCATCAGAGTATTATGTTTGAACAATATGACACTAAATAAAAATAACTTTGGGGCAAATTTTTTCAGAAAATGGCCCTAAATGATTTTTTATCTTCATTACCTACTTTATATTTTAAACTGTAAAGAAACAACATTAACTTTGATATGAATATTACTATATTTACATTTGTAGATACTATTGTTTATGAATATACTCTAATTTAATCCTAAAATACACAAGATCAAGACAGTAATTTTCTTAATGAGAGGATTGAAGAAAGCAAGGTTCATTAACACTCCTACACATCCTATCAAGCAAGGACTATCTGCCTCTTCAAAGTCTAGCAGAATGTTTATTCATACCCTCAAATTGTCTGTCTCCTACTTAATTTGCCTCCTGAACAGAACCGTTTAAACTCAACACACATCTCCACATTGCACTTCAGTGTTAGCTCTTCAAGCTGAAAACACTTCCAGAGAACAGAGCACTAGAAAATCACCAACAGCACTGAGCAAATACTTCAAGAGATCATGAAAGACAAGCAAGCAGAAGGACAAGTAGTAAACTGGAGAACAGGTGATACTTTTCCATAAAGACACTTTCTGTAAGGGTACTGATCCCCTTTGCCCTGATAGCTTTTATTCAAGAAGACTGTGGGGTAAGCAACAGCATTCTATTTTTTTCTTACCTACTCATCACCAAAATATTACCTGATACCAAAGTTTTGGTATATAAATGATAATTTTTACTTGTTAAAAAGTTTTGGGGATTTTTTTTGTGCAATATCTGAGAGCATTTTATATCTGCTGAATGCTAGTTATTTTTGTGTTTTATATAATTTTATTTACTTGAGCCCATTTTCTCCCTTCATAGTTAGCAAGTTGGCAGGCAAGGGAGTGGAAAACAGGACTGCTATGGCCACAGACAAGACGTGTGTGCAGAAGGACTCTGTTTCCAGCCTGTGCTGTGGCTTCACTCCTGCTGCCATGACGATATTGATAGTTATAAAGCAGCTGGCTCTTGCCAACCAATGCACTGTTACAAGGTGGGTATCACTGTCACCAATGCCAACTGAATGTATAAAAACCCACCAGAGCAAAATGCTGATGTTAAATACTCCTGCATCAGTATAATAAAAGTCTGCAAAGGATGCAGGTCATTACTGAAATAATATTATAGAGGATGTAATTGGAGCACATGCTCCTTTAGGTAGCATTAATTGTCATGAAGAGTTAAGATGAGCTTCAGTTTCATACACAATTATCTACACCATAGGTGTCAGAGATGAGCTAGAAGCAGAATTTAGTTGCCTAATCATGTGTACCTGATGTCATCTGAAACACCCACATTGTACATCCTGCCTAGCCTCTAGCTGCCACGATCAAAGGAAGAATCTCCTGTACATAAAGTGATACTATGTGGTGTCTCATGTGCCCTAAGGTGTTTCAAACTGCTGGATGCTTATGTTTTAGTATCTGAACTCGTCCACTATATTCAAGGGAGAAGAGTGAGCCGTTGAGCTCATCCTAAAGTAGACAACTGCATTTGGTCAGCAGCGGAGCTCTCCATGTGTCAGGGCCAGGTATATCCTTCATGCTATAGGTTGCACTGACTGGAGGTTCAATTCCACTGTCTGAGCATGGGCATCTAGACCTGCCTGTGACCCTGTGGGGTATCTAAGACCCTTAGCTGACCATGGCTTTCCTCAAAGCATTTGCTCTTAGGAGAACAGGGAGAGTCTGCTGCTATTTTTTTCTGCCACATTGGTCAGAAAATGTCCAACTGAAATAGAATGAGGTCAAACATATAAAATTTTGGGAAAATTACAGTTCCTGAGGTGCTAAATTGGATTAGCTTACTCCTAGACTTTTTCACTTTTCCTGAAATATCATAAACCACAGACAATTCCTCTCTGCTGTTTTATTTTAGTTGAAAACTGTCAGGTTTTCTTACAAATCGTTACTGAGCTTTTCATAATTCACATAAATAAGAAGAAATAAAATCAAATGGTTCACTATATTATAAATAAAACCTGTAAAATGATCTTCGTGTATTTTAAGCCTGAGTTAGTCTGTTTCTGACGGTACAAACTTTTCAAAATGTATTTCACATTGATCTTGTTCTCTATCTGAAGTGTTTAAAAAATTATCTCAGTACGCAAATTATTACTAATTTATCCTTCATGCTAATAGTATCATTTAAATCACAAATTTAATAAATTAATTTGAAGCAAAGTAGGCATGAATCTCCTCTTACTTATATTAATTTTACACTGAAATAACCTCACTGACTTTAATGGATTGGCTTTTGAATTGTACTATTGTGTAAAAAAAGAAGCAGGCAACTCATCCTACTACAGTAACTGCTAAAGTAAACAATTATCTTTGCAGTGTAACAATTAATGTTGGATGGGTCAGACTATATGTTTTAGCATAACACTTTCAATTCCTGTATGAACAATTTTTACTTACTTTGAGTTGAGATAGAACTTTTCCAAATCAGTTAACAATTATGCAGTTTTTCATATCTTTGTTAAACATGTGTTTCTATTAAAGTTTAGCATCCCTTGGGCAAACAATAATTATTTGATATGGTTTCCTGGTTAGACAAAGTTGTAATTTCAATTAGGTTAAAAAGTAAAAAATTTAAGATAAGACCCTCAGGCGTAAACAAAATTTATTAACACATTTATTATAACTTAGCTTTGGCTTTGAAACACTAATTGTATTGTTACCACCACATTTGAGGCTTTCACAGTGAAATAAAATTAATATAACCATTCAAATTAAGACCTCAAGATTTCAGAAGACTAATAATTAGTAAAAGTTAAGCATGATAGTTGCAATCAGGTTATAATGTTAAAAATGTAATTGAAAACAAGTTACAGAATAAATTCAGTATTTCCTTTGATGGACTCCAATGCTTAAAGAGAAATCACATCTTGATGTATCTGGTTTAAATCAACTTTACACCTGACAAATGAAGGTTGACTTTATCAGGTCGCATGAAAGGAAATAGCTTTTCATGTGATAACTTTGACATCTTACTTTGTAAAAGAGTACACTTTGGTCGTTTGCAGAAATGGCCTGAGAGAAACTTGTCTTTTGACGGATGACGTATTAAATCTACTATAAATACCACCTAGTGGCACGTGCTACACACAGAGCAGAAATACAGTGGCTTTCACTTTGAAAGATAAAACCATATAAGAATGTCAGAAAGTCTAAAAGGTTTTCACAAATAGAACTCAATACAACTCAAACTGGAACATCTAGATTTTTTTTCAGCCTCAGTTAACACTGGAAACATTAAATAATTCAGAAAGAAAAAGCACACCAGTATAGTTACAACCACTAGTAGCTTCAAAATAAGACACATACAGACATATATACATATTATTATTTTGTTGTTAAAAGCTCTTACTGATTATTTACTGAAAAGAGTCAGAATATCTTCAGATTTCTTTTTCTTAATGAGGTAAAACCCAAAACTGTGTTCACAAACAACGATGTATTTGATACTCCTATTTTGATTGTGCTTTGCTTACAACTATTATTTAGACATTTCTTAAACTGTTACAAACCTGTGACTCGAAGTTTATCCGTGCCAATTACAACTTCATTTTCATCCACTGTAAAAAGCGGCTTGCCATCCTTTGAGTTGATCTGAAATTGCTGACCATGGAATTCTACCATTTTAGGACCTGCAAAGTACAGTAGAATAATGGAATAATTACATCAGGTTTCTTCCAATGTCTATACAAATTGCTAATAATTTGAATTATTGCCTTAATAACTTAGTGACTCATTTAAGTACATTAAGGACAGTGAAACACCAAGATAGACATGACCTAATTTGTTGTTCGAAACTGTGCCTTGAGTCATGCTTTCAAGTTGTGTTTCCAGGGAAATTAGGAAATCCCACACAAATTGATCAAGACAAACATCCATGTTCTTGGTGTCGAAAATGCTAAGATTCTTTGATCATTATGAGTCTATCTGTTTTTCTTTTTTAACACAGAAACTAAGTGTCAAAGTCTTGGCAACATCACCCCTTTTGATTAGGGAGGCTCAAATGCTTTAAAATTACAAACATCCCATGTAAAAGCAGGACCCCTAGCTCTTTATAACGAATGCCAGCTTAGCTCCACATATCTAACAAATGTTACTGAATGTGTTCTTAGAAGAGTTTCAAAAAGCTACAAGAGTATTTGCGATTTGGATCTGGTACTCCAAAAATTAAAATAATTCTGTGCAAGAGAATCTTTATGTATTACCATTCCTAAATTCAGTAAAACCTCCTGTTCTACACTATTGGCTTGGTAAGCAGATATAAATCAAACCCTTAATATTCCTCTTTCTAACAACCCTATCAATTAAAAATTCACATCACATAAGTTTGGCTGTCTATTTGATAGAGTCCTCACCTATTTATGTTCAGAATTAAAATTACAGAGACGATCAAAGCAGTTAAGACTCCTTTTCAGCAATTTTTAATAAAGGTAATTCACAGGCTATCCATGGGACTGAGAGGCACTGAGCTGCTTCCTTTCCAGTAAGAACCTGTCTCACCATGCCTACTACCATAAATGCTAAATATATTCCAGGCAGTTATTCTCATAACAAACAAGTTTTTTAATGACATTATGTGATGGACGATTGATACTGCTAAGAAATACAGTCAGGTATTTCCTAAAATCTGCATGGTACCTGATGCAAGAGATGCATACCATCAGGTTCTAAACAAAGGGCTTATTGCTTCACCTAGCAGATGCAAAGTATTGCTTTTAATTGCCCACCAAGCATGGAAAGGGTTATAGAAGCCACAACATCCTAAAGTAGGGCAACAATTTAAAGGCATAAACCCCAATACTGATTCTACTTGAAAATGTTCTGGATCGAGACCTGAAACTCTGCAGTACATTACACTCTATTGGATGTGTGCACTCAGGCACAGATTACTGATCTCAATTTGGGTGTTTTCTAATCCTCTGAAGCACATGACTTTATTTCTGAGAAGTGTATTGCAAAAACTAGCTCAGAAATTATCTTCATTCAGTGAAAAGGCATTAAACAGTCATTTTGTTGTACAGAAAAAGAAGCAATCCTGGTTAAGTGAGGTGAGGGTGTTTTCCTCGGTTAAGGTATAGTATTGTTAAGTAATGAAACTATCCATTTATGTAGTGTAGGTAGATCCTTGTTTATTCGAACAGATCAAAGGCCTGAGTAAACTGGCTGTTATCAGCTTTACTGGTGCTGCAGGGGCCAGGTCCTCATCCTTGTCACTCATCTAACACCGTGATTAGAGTGCTCAGCATGAGTGTGGGAAACACAAATGAAAGCCTCTGCCATCCCACATGGAACAGGTTAGGTGAGTCCGGCACACTGGGGGGACCATGCTTTTGCTGGGAGGGACTTTGGAATCATTCTTCCTCTCTTTTGTTGAAGATGTGTTACATTGTGTAGAAAAGGAAGTTACTATTTGGAGCCTCTACTTTCTCCACAGGAAGGGAACCCAAATCTCCAGCTTCCGGGGTCAACACACTGGCTGGAGGAGTGCTTTTCTTCTCCTGATCCTGATTAGTGTTGGAACTCATTCTAAAAAGCATGCAATTATAATATCTGCTGGCTCAGACCCAGTAAATAAGACAGAGATGGGACTGCTTACCCTGTAGGCTCTGACAAAATTAAGTATTTTTCTTTTCAGTGTTGTCAATATTTTAGTAGGTCTGGCATGCTGGAAGCGAATTTTTTATATATAGCCATAGAATATTTATTGATTAAAAGAATTAATAACTCTGTGAAGATCCTGAAGACTTACATTTTCGCTGTATGCACTTTAAAGTGCCCCAAGACCTTCCAGAGATTCAGTTACAAGCTGTGAGGTATTATAGTCTGCGTAATCTTTAAAATACTAATTAGAAAGTGGTCTAAGTATATTTGAACTCTTATGCAAGCCTGCAGAAAATCTGCACCAATATCTCTAAAGGACTCAGAAATATATACTATTAATTTATATATAATTGTTAACTACTTACACATTACCAGAGAAAAAAAATGTGATGTAGATACTATATGTTATAGAGGAAACACTGTTTACTGATTTCCTTGGTAAACAGGCAGTCATCTTCAAAAATAAATTGCCAGGCCTCTATACTGTCACTTCTCTTTCTTTTTCAGCACCTTGGTAAACACAGGAGTTTCACTGATTATGAAGAAAAGTTGATTTGAAACAACTGGAGAAGTGTGACATTATTTGCACCAGCCCTAACTTGATCACTTTGAGGAATACATTTCTCTTCTTGATTTGCTAATTTGCTGAATCTATTTCACAAGCAATCTTGTCAAAGAAAGACTTTTCATGTTTCTTGTAGTAAGAACAGAAAAGACCTTCAAACAGCACTAATTGATTAATGTAATTTCTACATATGCATATTGCCAGAAAACCTATAGTTTTTCATTAAATGTATTGTTAAAGATTGTAGATTAATTCATAGATAAATGTGGCATGACAAAGAATGTAGTTAGAAGGTATAGGAGCTGCTTTAAGTGTTCAAAGTCAGGATCAGTATATACACACTAAACAGTATTTCTAGAACTTGGATCAAATTCTATTTCCACTCACCTAACCAAAGTAAACAGGCATAGATAACAAACACATGTTGTGCAGACTGACTTCCTCATCTTTCCTCTCTAATGCAAATTTCAGGCACGGTGTCCATACAGAACAACTTTGTACTAATACAATACTAATCAAACTGGTCCAGGTATGCACTGACCTGTCGTTACCGACACCCGATCCCCGGGCTCTCTGCCACCCAACCTCTGCCGTTGGGTACCATCACAGACACAGGCTTCAATGTGAAGGATGTTGCAAATGGCTTTTATTGCGCAGCTGCAATTGCTTATATAGCACAAGCCACACCCACAAGGCCCCTCGTGGGCAGTCTGAGCTTTCCGTTACATCGCCAGATCTTCCGCACGCCAATCCCTGCCTAGGGCGGGCTCTGCTCACCACAACACTGACCCCATTCCAGCAGTGACTGGATCAAGGCTGGGATTCAACCTTTCCATTCCCAGCTAATTGTTTTTAACATTAGACCACATGATCACATTCCTCTTTTCTTCTACTCAATTAATACCTGATTATTCCAGGCATGGCAGAACACCTGTAAGATGAGAAATTGAGTGAGTCCTACCCTAAAATAATGAGATAGGGAAAAAAAAAATAGAGAAAAATCTCCTTAGATAGATGAGGAACAAGAAGCATAGCAGGATTTGTAGGAAAGTGCTCATCCTGGCCAAACAGTAAGTTTTAACAAGCTAATGAATACCAATAAACTGAAGAAAGCCAAGGCAGAGTAGACACAAGCACTGCCAATTTCTGGTAATCCAATGGCATGCTCCTTGGCACCATCCCAACCTGTGCCACACAGTGATCTCCCAAACAATGCCCCTGATCAGGGGCTGTTCCTCATAGATGGGATGGATGAAGCTCTCCACTTCTGGAGAAAAGTAGGTTTAGCTGAGAGTCGTGCCATATGTGGTAGATGCATGTGACAGCGATCAGGGCTTACCAAAGACCTGATGAAGACCAGGGTTTCTGGCTTCGCTGCCATCAAAACTTCATTACTTTTTTTCAGGCCCTTAGCTTGCCTTTGTTGTGTGCTTGCCCTCAGCTACTTAGAATGACCACAGTTCAGACTTGACTAGAGTAGGAATGGAGCCCTGCTAGAGAGCCAGTTTGAATTGGTCCTCCTCAGAGCAGCAGGTCTGCAGCTGGGAACTCTCTCCTTGGATTGGGATGACGTCCAAGGAAACTTCCTGGGATTGAGAGAGCCCCTCCTCCTTTCCCCCCTCCTCCTTTGGTGAGTGAATACTTCTTCTGGAGATACATGTAGATATAGATATGTCATTGAGTGAGACTCATTGAGTGCCTTTCATGGATGAGTGATCTCTTTTTGGGAACCCTTGAGTAGGAGGTTTTCCCTTTTATGAGTGAGTCTGTGCACATTTTGGTTCACCTTTCTAAAAGGAATACTCTTAAAACTTAGAAATTAGTTGTGTAGTAGTATATTCCCACCTGACTTCTGAACTTGCAATTTACTGTGATCTGTTGGAGTACCAGGTAATTTTTTGATTGCCATAAATCCACATTTTAATAGCGATTGCTGTCTTTGTGGGTGCCTCTGCAACACCATGCCACCTGCCCTGCTGCTCACTGTCGGCCCTGGCCTGGTTTGGTGGCTAATATAGACATAATCTATGCCTACTTGCTAAACACTTTCCTACTTCAGATATTTAGTTATATTTCACAATACACTTGCACTACCTATATTGAAATAACACTAATTGTTTTGTGATCCCAGTAAGACTGATTTTCAGCTCATAAACAACAGCCCAATTCAATATCTGAAACTTTAATCTCCTAATTCCTAAACATATTTTGTTTGCAACCCTTAGCATATTAACTTCATGTAAGTCAACTAATACTATGTAATCATACTTGTTGATAAAATTCTACAGGTAAGAATGTAACATGACTGAAAGCAGGTTACAGAGAGCAGTGGAACATTTTCCCATTGCTGCCAGAGGTGTCACAGAGCTCCCAGGTTGATTGGTTACCCTCACTCATCAGGCAGAGCAATATTTACCCATTGTTTCTTTGCACTTCCTCCTTATAACACGTGCAGTTACGATATAG